CATGAATGAATGTTGCAGTAAAACATGTTCCCAAGGATATTAAGACTGGCCCTGGGAAGTACCCTGGTTTGGTGTTTAAATCAGTATATTGATAATCATCAAAGATCTCTGGGAAAGCAAATTTATTTCTCAGCACAGACTTGATTTTGGGTTGAGTCATGGGCACTGATAAAATGAACTAAGTACCCTTATCCTTGAGCAGCTGCTCCACATCGGCTGCTGGTGGCCTTTCCTGTCTCCTTCGCCTTCCTTCCCTGGACTACACTTGTCAGTTATTCACAGTTTAGAATGTTTAACCTCAGTTCTGACTTTTCAAAAGCCCTATGGAAATCACCTCCACCCCAGGAGTCTGTTTTCTAAAGCCAAATAGAGGGGAGGGATAAGTTGTACGTCCTCTGAGTAGGACAGTGTAATTTCCTTAAATTGTAAATTATGAACACTCTGACTGCAGTGCCGTTGTTTAATTACATCACTAGTAAATAATGAGGCATATTTGTTGTAGCATTTGATGTGTTTGCCTCTCCCCCTAATTTCTTACGTGGCTTATTTTTATATGACTGTTACTCTTCCACCACAGTTTTGAATCCAGGAAGAGTGAAAGTTGTGACTTCTTAGTAAAAAACAGTGATAGTAATATGCAACATTTATTGAGCACTAATGCACCCAATTTTACCCATTCCTTCCTTCCTACCTACCTGATGAAGTAAGGACCATTATTTTTCTACATTTAATATGTGAGAGAATTGAGGCTTGAAAGTAATTTGCTCAAAGCCATGCAGCTTAGTAAGTTGCAGAGCCAGAAGAACTTAAACCCAGGTGGTTTGGGCTGAATCAGATGTTCTCTAAGTTTATTTCTGGCTTTAGTTTTCTGTGATTCTGAGCAAAAGTCTTTGACTAGTGAGGAGTAGGAGGAGTTGGATGAGGATTCTGTGGCAGTGTTTGAGGAACTCCTGTGTCCAGGTGGCTTTTGGAGCTGGGAGGGTGCTCCTTGTAACTGTGCTCAATGCCATGGCAGTTGGCGTCCTCTGAAGATGACATTTAATTTGTAAACCTTTAGGATGGTAATGGGCACTAATGCAATTGGATATGTACAGGGAGAGAGAACATGAGGGGTTCTCTCACAGCATCACTTTATTCACTGGGTTTTGTCTGGGGAAGAAATGTAGATGCAGACGTCTAAGCACTGACAGAAATCATCTTGGGAGCTCTGTGATCCAGTGAAGGTTAATTAGTGGTTGCAGACAGAACTACAGTCCTAGATAACATAATTCTAGTCTAGTTCCCTTGGAAATACAACACATTGCCTTCGGTTATAGATGTTTCATCTTCAGTTGAATTATGGCCTGTCTAGAAGTATGATACCCATGGTAGCACCCAAATTTATTTGAAACTTCTGTTTACCTTGACCACCCACCCCTTCCTTGTGTTCTGTGGTTAAGAATTGAGTCTTTTTTAGCACAATGCTGCCCCTCCCTGGTTATTGTGGAGTACTGCATTAGGAAGTCCACTAGACATTTTGCCTGCCTTTGTAGAGTCCCACCGTGGAAGCCATAAATCTAGACACACAAACCAGATCATTGATTTGCATTTTGTCATTGAGCACACTGAGGTCAGAGATGACAGAGAAATGACCACAGAACTGAGGTTGCTTGAGTCACTAGTTTGGTTCAGAAAAATAGACGTTGTGTAAATGCAAGTTACTGTACTTAAAAGGTGTTTCAGGTGTTCAGACATCTTTTTTTTTTCCCCAGACATCTTAAATGTGTTGCAGAAACACACAAAGGCTTCACAGAAACTTCAGAACACTGTTGCTAGGACTGCTAGCAGGTCCGAATTCCTCCGAGCTCTGTTAAGTAGCTCCTTTGTGTGATCCTGGAATCATCTGTTAGTAGCATAATGGTTAGAGCTCAGTATCATCCTTTCATGACACTGTGTTTTGGTGGAGAAATAACTCCCTACATTTCTCAGCGAAGTTTTCTAAATTACTCTGAAATGCTAGTTACAGTCAACTAACAGAGTATCTACTCACTCATTCAGATGTTGTCTTTTTAAATGTTTCAGTAGTTCTTCTAGGGCAGTTTCCCAGTCCCCGTTTTGCAGGAGAGAGCAGGCTCAGAGAATCTTAGTAAGTGTGCAGGGTCCAGTAGCTAGCTGGGACCTGGTGGCACTGGAATTTGAAATGCATCAAGTTTTCCAATATTCTTTCCAGTTGTCTGTCTTCCCCACCCTGTAGCTTGAGCCAAGGTTTATTCTTACCGTTCTAGCTTTGGTTTCCATAAAAAAACATAAGAACTTGAAAATCTATTAGATTAGTGGTTTTCAGCTGGGGACAGTTCTGACCTTACAGGGATACGTGGCAATGGTTAGAGGCATTGTGTTGGTTGTCCTAACTGGGGGAAGGGTGCCACGGGCATTTGGGGCCTGGAAGCCAGGGTACTGTTAGACATCCAGCAGTGTGTGGGTTACCTGGCCCAGGGGTGCTGGGAGGATCCTGCGTTAGTTGTTAGGCAGTATGTTTTATTTAAATAAAGTTTATCCCTGAACACTTAAACAGGCTCTGTTCTTTCCCCTGGTGTTTACTTTTCTTTCCATTGTGAGTAATGTCATCCTAGTTCTTTTCTTTATCATTCCACCTAGCAAAGAAGCAACTAGCTTTTGTTTGTTTGTTTGTTTGGTATGGGGGATTGAACTCCGGTCCTTGCGCTTGCTTGGTGAAATCACTGAGCTAAATCCCCAGCCCAGCAACTAGCTTTTGGAGGAGAGGAAGAAAGACTTTTCCCTCTACACTTCTAAATTCTTGGCCTAATAATGCTTATGCCCATGGGGTGTTTTAAGGTTGGCAGTTCTCTGGTCTCCTATGCCTTGTAGCTGTTCTCTCCATGTGCAGTGACTGTACCTCACTGCTTGTGTGTTTGGTTAGCAGTTGAGTTAAAAGACTCCATTTGTCCCATAGCTCAGTGTGGGCCAACCTGAGCCAGGATTCCTGTTCCTCTTGATAGCACCCCTGGGCGTTTTCCTGTGCTGCATGCAGGTGGCCATGTGGGTCTGGATATGTCTTATACTTTTTTTCTCAGGTCTCCTTTGCTTAGAAAGAATACCACTTAAATGGGTCCCATTTCTTCTGGGCAGTTGTTATCTCTTCCGTAGTCCCCTGCTGAGAGTAATCGCTTCCTCTAAATTCTGCATGTAACATTCTACATATTTCTCATATTGGTTTGTTCTCATATGCAGAATAAAGAGTGCAAAATAATTTTGTGTTCAATATTAAAGTGAAAAATGGATAAATACTAAAGACTGTGCATCATGTAGGATTATTCTCTGCACATACGGACTGTTTTAGTCAAAGCTGTGCTGATATGCTGTCTTGGTAGGAGTTTCAAATTTTAATGTTTATAATATTTACTTTGGAGTAGCCCATCTGTACATTTGAGTCCTGTCAAGACTTACCACAGGGTTTTCTTTTCCTGCCTTTCTGGTTCTTTTAATAGTGTAAATATTTTAGAAATGTGTGGTTTTTTAATAAACTTTCTAGACTCAGTTCAGCCTGTATTGTATTTATGACCTCTCACTAAAGCAGGAAGCGTTTTCCTTCATTAATTTGGGCTCTTGACCTACTTTAAGATTTAGCCATCTCCTTTATAAACATGAGGCATTTCTTGAATTTTAGCTCCCATTGGTTTCTGACCTGTGGGGATGTGGTGAGAAAGGGAGAGGCTGCTAAGAAGAATGTGCCTGCATTCTGCCTGGGGAGGTCTGTGAAGCCCTGCCCGGGTTGCAACACCTTAGTGCAGTTCCTGTTGAGCTGTCCCATGACCAGATGCGCAGAGGATGTAGGTTACACTGTGGCTCCATGGCCTTCAGGTGGAAGGGGGCAGCATTTTATCTCTTAGTTTTTGGATGAACTGGGTACAAAGTTGACTTTTTTTAGACATGTCATTTATGGGACAGTGATCAACATAGAAATCTCTATTATTCACCAGTAATGATGTACAAGTGGTTCTATGCTGATCCAAAGGTAAATAAGACTGGGCCCGTGTTCCCCGGACTGATTCTGGTACCATCATCACCTGCAGCCTGCTCTGTTACTTCGGTGCATGGCAGTACCTGCAGAGTTGTGTGGCAGCAGAATGGAGGGAGGCTCTAATATAGGCTGCACGATAGGCTAACCTCGGAGAGGAGGAGACTTCATGTCAGGTCTTGCTGGGTAAGTGCTTTCTAGCTTGCTTTATGAGTTTGACAATATGCTGTAATTTTTAATAGCAAGTTGATTAAAGGTTTTGTAGTATTGTATAAGTAAGTTTTTTTTTTCTATTGGCTTTTTGAGACAAGGTCTCTCTATGAAGTTCAGGCTGGGCTTGAGCTCACTGTGTAGCCCAGGCTGGCTTCGAACTCATGGCAACCCTTCTGCCTCAGCTTCCTGAGTATTGGCATTACAGGCATGCACCACCACTCCTGGCTTTGTGTAGCTGATGTTAAATAAAAATGTAATATTGAGTGAATTTATTGATGAAGCTTTAAGGTAGCTTTAAGATTGGTCTCTTGTATTTTGACATAACCATGTTGATGGGTAAGGGCAGAGTGGTACTGTGACTGGGGTTTTTGGAAAAAATTAGACCCTGTCATTATTGTGGTCTTGGTTGTATGTTTTTCCCTGTGGGCCAGAATACCTGTGTACAGAGTTTTGATCATGAGTATGATATGCACTTGTGGACACTGAAATCCTGTTCCTAATGCTGTTAGATTTTCCTTTTCAGAGTAAGAGGGACCATCTACTCATGAACGTCAAATGGTACTACCGTCAGTCTGAAGTTCCAGATTCTGTGTATCAGCATTTGGTTCAGGATCGGCATAATGAAAATGGTAAATATGTCCTTCTAATTCCATTCTTGTAAAGCTTAGCTTTGGTAAAGTTCTTTATTTAAAAAAACCCAGAGATAACCTTTATTTGTTTTCTTTTGGAAATACCGGGGATCAATCTCAGGACCTTGCGCTTGCCAGGCAGGTGTGGTGCCACTGAGCTACATCCCTGGCAGAGATAATCTTTATGATAAATTATCTCTGAAAGAGATTTTTATAAATAAGAACATTACTGCCCAGGTATGATGGCACATGGCTGTAATCCCAGCACACTTAGGAGGCTGAAGCAAGAGGATTGGAAGTATGAGTCCAACCTGGCAATTTAGTGAGACACTGTCTAAAAAAAGTCCTGGGGATGTTGATCAGTGTGAAGGCTCTGGGTATAATTCCAGTGTTGTGCGCCAAGAGAAGAACTTTACTACAACTCCACCTCCCACTCTTGCTCCCTCTTTTCTGCAGTACTGGAGATTGGACACAATCTGACCTACATCCCAGCCCCCATGTTTGCTGACCTACATCCCAGCCCCCATGTTTGTTTGTTTGTTTGTTTTTTTGCTACCGGGTATCGAACTGGGGTCCTTGTGCTCGTGCAGCAGGCGGCAAAACCACTGAGCTACATCCCAGGCTCCTTGGTTTTGTTTTTTTGGACAGGTCTTGCTGAGTTACCCAGGCTTGCCTGAAAGTTCGGTTCCTTCTGCCTTAGTCTCCTGAGTAGCTGGGCCAGAATGCCCAGCTTTTAAATTTTACTTTTTATTTATTTAATTTTAAACCTCTGAAATATGCAAGTAGTGTCTTTACATAAATTTGACAGAGGCAGGTATTCTCTGGAAATAACAGTAATTTCATTCTTTGAATTCCTTTTTTCACCTAGTGTCAAACAAATATATATATATATATATATATATATATATTTTTTTTTTTTTGGTACCAGGGATCGAACTCGGGTCCTTCTGCTTTTGAGGCAGGTGGTGGAACCACTGAGTTAAATCCCCGGCCCAAAACAAATATATATTAAACCCTATAGGATTGTATTTCTTTTTCTTTTCAGTAATCTGTATTGAATTTAATTACTTGTATTCGGGATAATAAGCTTCAGTTTTCGAGCACTGCTCTCTGAATTACGTTTTGGAGTTCAGCATGCTACCTGACTTCAGAACAATAGGAAGGTAGTTCCAGGCAACTGACCCTTTTCTCTCCATCTGGCCTTGTAGTTCTGCTTGGTAACTGTATTGACACATGAGCTATGTACATAAAATGCAAGTTACCTTTGTACAGATTGATCATAGTTTTTAAAGGTTGAATCTGGAGAGGTGCTAGGCCTCATCCTGGATCGTTCACATCTGTCAGCCGTGAATGCGAGATGGCTTTTCCCTGCAGCTCGGGTGAAGAGTTGAGTTCAGAGCTTCGGTAGGAGCTGTGGAGGCCATGCGTCCTCTCAGCGGTGGCGCTGGGCTAGGGCAGGCTTGATGGGTCCTGCTGCTTGCCCCAGGCTCTTGCATGGCCTTTGCTGATAGTTTTTTTTTAAAACCTTGTTTGAAATGATAAAAACTTGTGTTAAAGCAGTTAAATTATGATACTTGGTTAAAAACAGTAACTTGCTTATCTTTTTCAACTGAATCAGTGTGGCTTTATTCCATTTTGGAACATTTAGGGAAGAAAAGGATCACTTCTTTTTCCTCTTTTTGGAGACAGGCTCTTGCAATATAGTCCATTCTGGCCTTGAACTCTTAGTGATCCTCCTGCCTCAGACTCCCAAGTGCTAGGATCATAGGCATGCACTACCACACCTGGCAACTTTGTGCTTATTAACGCATTTCAGCAGACTTTAGGGACTTGGTAAAGGATTATTACATTCCCAGCAAGACAATCACTTGTCCAAAACTACACACATTGTTCTTGTTATTCGTGCTATTATTCCTTTGCCCTGTTCTGTACACTTATGGTGCTAACTAGGTCTGGTTATTTATTGTGCTTTCTTTAGTCGGAGGTATATTTGGAAAGAAAAACAGTTTTGCAAAAACCTTACCTGTTTTTGGAAACTCAGTTTTAATTTCCTCTTAGTTAATTAAAAAATTTTTTTTTGACAGACTCTGGAAGAGAACTTGTCATTACAGACCCCGTTATCAAGAACCGAGAGCTCTTCATTTCTGATTACGTTGACACATACCATGCTGCTGCTCTTAGGTAAGCGCTGGAGATGCATCTCGGGTTCATGTTTAGAAATTACTGAGCATGGGAGGCACAGAGTCCAATCTTTCTCAGCCTCATTGTATAGCAGTGTACTTATTAATCAGTTCCTCTCGTGATCATCCGGGTGAGCTCACACAGCATCATCAGTGTTGGATTATTGGGATTTCAAAGGTTGCTGGCTTCTCCGTTTATCTGGCTTTACCTCTCCCTCTGTTTTTCTCCTAATAAATTGTGTTTACGCTCTTACTCTACTACTGTATAATTAGTTCCTTGAAAGTTAATGTCCTGGTATTGCTTGCCAAAGTGTTTAGGGTAAAGGGTACTAGCGGTCTGCAGCCTACTTTAAGAGTTGGAACCCTGCCAGTAGAAAAAGATTGTACAAAAAATGGATGACGCACGTATGGCAGCGTGTTCATGAATTTAGAATCCAGGCAGAATTTATTGGGGTATTCACTCGTCAACTCTTTCAATTTTCTATATATCAGAAAAAAAATTTTTTTCTGGTTTTGCTAAAATTCTTGGCAGGGGAAGAAAATATTGAAGTTTTTATTTTTAGACAGAAGGTAACTTTGTAACTTGTCTTAATAGCTTAAGTAGTTTCGCCAAAAAGTAACTGTGACTCTCTGCTTTGCATTTTGCGTCCTTTCAAGTAAGGGTGCCGGTGTGCTCTGGTGCACTTTGTTTATATGTGGTAGACTGGGCCCCTCAGGTGGCATAAGAAGTACAATAGCTAACATACTTAAAACCCTTTCTTCACTGCAAACAGCAAATAATGTGGTAAAAGAACTTTTTTTTTGATTAAAGACTGGTTTTTAAAAGTCACTGGATTTGTTAGTTTAACTGCAATGAGGGACAGTGATTTCTCTCTTCTTGCTCACACTGTGTTCAGTGAAACCATCCTGAACCCCTTAGGTGGAGCTAAGGCGAGTTATTTCTTCAGATTATGGGCAAGGTTTGTTTTTGGGGTTTTTTTTGGTACCAGGCATCGAACTTGGGTCCTTGTGCTTGTGCAGCAGGCAGTGAAACCACGGAGCTAAATCCCTGGCCCCTGGGCAAGTTTTAATACAGGACAGGTTGAGGTGAACTCCTTTTGCCAGAAGTATTTCTTGTGGCTCTGCCTCAGCTGTCCAGAGTTCTGCCATCACAGCACAGAAACCATAGGCAACGTGTGCATAAGTGAGGCGACTATGTGCCAAGCAAACTTTATAAATGGTCACTAATGTGTGTGTTATGGCTGTGTCTAGCTGTCCTCCCAAAGTCTCATGCAGACACAGGTGACTTTTTCAGAGGTGGCTAAATCTGGAGTGTGTGATGTTGGGATTAAGAGTGTGTGATTACTAAACCAGTCCACTGATTGGTTGGGCACCACCCTAATCCCCAAAGTCTGGGTAAGATAAAAGGGGCTGGAAGACACTGTTAAGGTTCTCTTGTTGCTTTTGCTACCTTCTGCCTGCCATTGAACTCTTGCCCCTCTGCCATGTGCCACTCTGCTTTGGAGCCCGCCAACAATAGACTGAAACCTCTACCAACTATGAGCTAAATAAACCCTTTCCCCTTTAACTTTGGGTGTCGAGTATTATCTCTCAGCAATGAGAGAAAAGTAACTAACACAGTGTGATTTTCTGATTTTCATATGTCATGAAATATTCTTTGATTTTTTTTTTTTTTTTTTTTTTGGACTGGGGATCGAACTCGGGTCCTTGTGCTTCCGCAGCAGGGTTAAATATCCGGCCCCTTCTTTGATTTTTTTTTTTAAAGCTACTTAGAATTTAAACCTTCTCTCTCATACTGTCTGAAGACAGAGTTTTGTTAAAGTTGAAAGAGTCCTGTGGTGTTTGGTCAGCTTTTCTATGTCTTTTGGAGGTAACTTTCTAATCAGAAGCCTGCTTGCTGAACACAGCAAGTCAGTGCAAGGTTGCTGGGCTGACAAGATGGGTGGAAAATGTAGCTCCTCACTCTGCTTTGCTTACTCACTTCTTCCTTCCTCTTTCCATCTTATCACATTGGTTGAGGAAAATAATTTTAAGGAATTTGTAGTTCCAGTTAAATAAATACATAACTGACAGTTCAGCATGTTTTTGACATAATTGCTTAAAATGAATACATTTGTGTGTTTATCAGTGCTATTCAGATTTGCAGAGTAATTTTCATCTCTTTGGCTGGCTCATTCATTCATTCTGCTGTACTGTGGAGTGAACCATGGCCTTTGCAGTGGGCTACGTCCCCAGCCTTTTTTATCTTATTTTTCATTTTTGAAACAGGGTTCCAGTAAGTTCCCCAGGCTGGGCTTGAACTCGTGATTCTCCTTCCCCAGCCTCCCAGAGTCCTAGGGTTACACGTGTTACACGTGTATGCCCCCAGTCCCAGCTTCAATTTGTGTTTTTAGCAGATCCATTTTTTGCAGGTAGTCGGAGCAGACCCAGGTGAGCTTGCTTGAACAGGCTTGGGTCAGATGCCCCCAGAGGTGCCACTGTGTGAGGTGCTGTCCCTGTGCCGTCCACCGCAGCTGGACTGTTGTTACCGTGGCAGTTCTTGAGGTTCTATTTACTTGGTGTGTGCCTAGGATCCTTGCTTAGTTTTTTTCCCTCCTGTGTTACCTTCTTTTAAAGTTCTCATAAAAATCGATAGCTCTGTTGTAAAACTTTCAGGTGAAATTTGATTTTTTTTTTGCACCAGGGATCGAATGAAATTTGATTTTCATTAATTTCAATTAAAGCACCCCTTTGGGATTTGACAATTGGATTTTTTTTTCAGACGCTGGATGATAAGTGGTCATTTTGTTATGGAATGATCCGGCCTAGTAGGTGCTCAGTAAAACCTTGTCCAGTTCTGATGCTTGCCAGAATCTGTTGGTCACACTTGTGATCCTGCCGTGGTTTAGTAACCCTACAGTGTGTGGTGTGCACCCACAAAAGCAGCTTGGGTCACCTGTCAGATCACCTCCATGCCCCGGGGTCTCCGTTTATGCCTTTCTCTTCACCAGAGTCCAATTACTTTCACTTAAGCATATTTGGGGTATAGTGGTGAAGGTAGGGGCTTGAGGATTAAGGTTTAACTTTGTGTTCTGATTTTTCTTTTCACAATTTAACCACAGAAAAAGGTTTTTTTCTTTCTTTATAGACATAAACCAGTGCTACCAAAAATAAAATTCAATTTTGAGGGAGACACAAATAATCTGAAGGCACATGAAAGGGATCAAATGAATGTGATGAAAAAACTGTGGAGGACAAAAAAGGACAAAGGGAAAGGCTGGTAGTGTCAGTGCTTAGTAGTGTCAGATCTTTTCGAAGATCAAAAGGCTCAGTTAGATGGATTCATTGGCTCACAGTAGCGCCCGCCGGGGACTCTGGCCATGTCATTCATTTAGGAGGAAGCTGATGTATAAATTTTTCTTTCAAGCTGGTGCTAGAATTGGGTCACAAAGATGCTAGAGCTTTGTCCCCTGGCCACTGTGACTCAAAAGGAAAACAACATTCCTCTGCAGACTTTTTGTGTGTGTGTAAATTGTGAGCTTGTAGCTTTTCCCTACCAAAACTAAGTTTATTTCCAGAAGTGATGGTAGAACTTCACATTTGTAGAACTATGTTTTGAGGTGAGGATTATTGCTTTGCTACTGTTTTTGAGTCCTTGGCCCTGTCTGTTGCGCAACCCCATCTTTCCAGGTTCTTCCCCCTCCTAACTTTCTTACTGCATTTACTTATCAGGGGCCACTGTTACTAAAGTTAGCATCTTCAGTAGTGTTTTCTGAGTTGTTCTTATTCCCAGGTAAGTACTTTTCGCTAACATTGTAATACACAGTAATGTAAAAGGTACCAGGTTGAAATTAAAAGACTCAGTTTGAACCTTGGCTTTGCCACAGAGTTTTACAGCCAAGATCAGGCTCTTAGCCTTTGAATCATCCTTTTCACAGACCCGGTCAGTACCTCAAGATGTAGCGATGGAACCTTACATAACCACACCCAGTGCAGTAGGAGAGTGGGAGCCCCTCACAGAGCACCTCGCTTCTGGGACCAGTACTGCTCTGTGTTCTTCTTTTAGTACACTGCTCTTTCAGTCTCAGCTGGGTCCTTAAAGGTGTAAAAGTAAGAAAAGAGAAAGTGGAATTTATAGTTGTGTGCTGCATTCCTGGTGGGATGATTCTTCAGGGTTACTCAGCACTCAGTGGTTTTGCACTCAGTAGCCTGTTGTATGGGTTCTTTGGGCCCTCAGATTACACGAGGCATGGTGGGGGTTTAGGCTCTGGAGCCTTCTAGAGATGCTCTGTCAGTTGTGATCTGTTTTCTGTATCACTTATTTCTCCCTAGGAATAATGTTTTATTGGTGACCCACAGACCTGGAGCATTTACTCTGTGAGGAGAGTCAAAATGCATGACCTGGGGACATTCACAGGTTTCCTATGAGCTTGTAACCAAGCATTCTCAAGCATTAAAGGGGTGGTGGGACAGCACAAGCAATCAGAAAGGGGTTGTGGGCCTCCGTAGGTATGGGCTGCTCTCTGGCTTTCTGATTATCTGGCTCCCACTTCAAGTAGGGCAGGCTAGAAGCTGTCGTCTTACCTAGAGATTCATATTGTAGAGCAGTGGTGGCGAACCCATGGCACTTGTGCCGCAGCAGGTGGTTATCATTGAGAACTCTAAAAGGTTTCCTATCACTGTTGTAGTGTTACTTTTCTGAAGGTTCAGGGCCAAGAAACTCTATAAACAGTTTTGGGCTTCTAATCTCATTATTTTCATTCTGAATTAACTTATTCTCCTTATTTTGCCATGAGCAGCCAGAAATTTTATATGTATGTGTATATATTAAAACAAAATTAATTGTACCTGTGGACAATTCCCTACCTATTCTTTCCCTTAAAAATAATCCTCTGGCTCCTGCAGGTTTTGCAGGGAGGTTCATGGAGTCTTAGAGCTCTTAGCTTGGAGTTTAAGATTTATTTTCTGAGGGCCGGGGATTTAGCTCAGTGGCACCATGCCTGCCTCGAAAGTGCAAGGTCCTGAGTTCAATCTCCAGTATTGGGGAAAAAAAAAAAGAAAAAAACCCAAGATTTATTTTCTGTCCCCCATACTGGAGATTGAACGCCAGCCCTTTGGACTGAACTGCCGCCCAGCCTTTTTATTATTTTGAAACAGGGTCTTGCTGAGTTGTCCAGGCTGGAATTGAATTTGCAATTTTTTTACCTTGGCTTCCCAGCATACTGGGGATTTATAGGCTTGTGTCGTTGTGCCTGGCTCGGTTTTTATATGTGATGTAATTTTGATCTGCATTTTGTTTTTTTACCACCAATGCTGAGGATTGAACTCAGAGCTTCACTTATGCTATGCAAGTGTTCCATACCATTGAGCTACACACTCAGCCCTGATCATCAGCACTTTGTTGTTTTGTGTATATATGCTTAGTACTTCATTAAACATCAAAGACTGTCAATTCATTTTTTTAAATTCATCATTTAACACTTCATTGTCTTAATAGACAAAAGGCTTTGTATTTGGTGCTGGGAACATCCAACTAGATGCTCTCTCTGCTTTGAGCACTTGATGGTCAAATAAAATTATTTGGAGCTACTTTTAGATATAAAGAAAAGTTATAAGTACTGAGTTTTCATCTAACCCAGCCATAACCTCCTCAATGTGAACATCTTAACTATAGGATAATTATCAGAACAAGGAAATTAACATGGGTATAATAGCACTGAACTAAAGATTCTCTTTGAGTGTTAGTAGCATCCTTGTTGTTGTTCTACCCTCATATTTGGGATCCCACATTACATGTAATTGTTTTTCCTAAGTGTCCAGCCATCTGTAATGCTTTTCCAATCTTTTTCTGTCATGCATGACTTTGACACTTTTTAACTAAAGATTATTGATGAGTTATTTTGCCAAATATCCCCCAACTCGGCTTAGCCAGATGGTGCATTGATGTTAAGCATTTTGGTCTCTTTCTTTCTTTTTTTTTTTTTTTGGTACCGGGGATCGAACTTGGGTCCTTGTGCTTGCACAGCTGGCAGAGCTGGCAGTGAGACCACTGAGCTAAATCCCCGGCCCTGGTCTCTTTCTGTGAAATCTGATCATATCTTTTCTATTTGGTTTCATGGAGGTTTGTATATGTTGTATAGGTGGCAAATACTTTCTACCACTTTTCTCAGTTTTCTTTATAGTGTTTTTTAAATGAAAAACTTGTTTTTATGTAGGCAAATTAAATCAGTCTTGTAAACGCTTCTAATTTTGAGACAGTGTTAGAAAGCCTTTTCTTATATTAAAGTAAAATCCTACCCAGTTGACTAGCACCAATTACTAAAATAAGTTTGGGTACACCTTAGTGGATTGAGATACCAATTTTGTCATACATTGCTTTCCACTTGCATTCTGGATTTGCTTTTCTGTTTTGTTGTGTTGTCTGTTTATATGCTAGCACTACCCTCTTTTTTTTTTTTTGGTACTGGGAATCGAACTCGGGACCTTGCGCTTGCGAGGCAGGTGGCAGAACCACTGAGGTACATCCCCGGCCCCTAGAGTACTCTTTTATGCATTTGGCATCTTTTGTCCAACAGTTTAAATTTTTGAGGTGCACTCTTAATGTTTTATATATCAGTAGTTATTGGATTATTTGGTATTTATTATGCAGATAGACAATTTGTTTATTCTGCAGATGAACATTTGAGGTCTTCCAAGGTACTATAAATAAAGTTTTTGGGGCCGGCGATTTAGCTCAGTGGTTCCGCTGCCTGCCTCCCAAGCACAAGGTCCCGAGTTCAATCCCAAAAAAAAAAAAAAAAAAAAGATGGCGAGAAAGTTGTTACGAGTAACAGCAGTGATAAAAACACAAAGAAGGAAATGTAGAAGTAAAAATTAACAGGGAAGCAACATTAGAGCCAGCTAATCTAATCACCCTTTTTGTTAATTCTCAGACCTCATTTAAAAATATATATATTCTTACCAATTAGGTTTTTACAATTTTTATTTTTATTGGTACATATTCACAGTACATAATGATTACATTCCTCCTGAGGAGTTGAGACCAACTAGGATTTATTCCAGGAATACAAGAGATTTGGATTTTGAGACAGGATCCCACTATGTATAGTTCCAGCTGGCCTTGAACTCATGGCGATCCTCCTGCCACAGCCTCCCAGATGCCGAGATTATAGGTGTGTGTCACATGCCCGGGTTACAAGGTTGATTTAATGTTATAGGCCCTATTAGTATCATATAAATGTTAATAAATCTTAGGCAAGAAACCATATATGATTGCCTCCAAGACTGTGAGGATGCTTTGGTTATCTTTAAAACTAGTATATTTGGGGTGGAGGGATTGAAGGGAGGGCAGGGGAATGGAGAAAAAATAAGAACCAAGATATATTATGTAAGGGTAGAAATTTCCAGTGATGAATGTCATTATATTGTATACCTAAATGTACCAGTAAAATTAATTTTTAAAAACTAGTATATTTAATGGGGAAAAATGAATGACATTTCCACTTTTCCTGACTCCGTGCAATCAGGAATCCGGCAACAGCATCCATTATTTTTACTCACATTGTAACAGAGGTACAGTGCTATTAAAGGCGTAAGAAAGAATAAAGAAGTAGCTGTTGTTTTGCATGTGGTAGCATACCTAGCAAAGCCTCTAAGGCCAGGTGTAAGCCAGGTGTAGTTGTCTGTGTCTGTTGTTCACTGTAGCAGCCTGGCTCCTCAGGAGGTTGAGGCGAAGTGTCACTGGAGCCCAGGAGTTCAAGAGTAGCCTAGGCAGCATACACAGACCCTGACTCTAAGACAGACAGACAGACAGACAGACAGTGGAGCACAATTCAAGTGAGTAGCAGGTTACAAAATTAACATACAAGAACGAGTAATCTTCACAACCAGGAACATTAAGCAGATAGAGGACATAATACATAATGGCAGAGATCTCACTTGTTCCGGCATCATAATGTAATTGGTTCAATTCCTACTATTTTTGGCTTTCCCTGAACCAAAGAGGGCTTTCCCCTCCCCAGAGACATGGCATTGTTTTGACACTCTGGATTGTCACTGTGTGTGTGGCCAGAGATGGTGCTGACTGCTGTCGGGTGCAGAGCAGAACCACGTTCAGTCCAGCAAGTCAGTGTTGCTGACTCTGATGATCCCTGCCCCAACCATGTCTGACTTCTTGTGCCTATGTTTAGAATTAAAGGTTTCTGCACCTTTAATTAATGAGATAATTACCCTCAGAGTGAGATAACATGGAATATAAAGGAATCAATTTCCTTGGTAGTGATCACTAAACAGAAATAATGATGTTCTGTACAGAGTTTCACAGACTGTGTCTTAGCGTTTGTATGAGATAGGTATTACTGTTGTTATTTAGTTGAGAAAGGAACTTATTTCCTTTGGTTTGGCTTCTGGGACTGAATTACCTAGAATGGATGGGTAGTTAGTTTCAGAGTGAATTCTTTGTTCACCTGTAAAAATGACCTCCTTTGCCTTTTCCAGAAGCTGAGTTTAGCTCCAGTTCATCCCAGAGGGCGGGTTCTGGGCCAGATAAGTTGAGGCCTACTCTGTATTTTCTTGGAACTGAATCTTGAGACCTAGTGCTGTGATGTTTCCAGTAGAACTTTTCTCTGGTGATGGCAATATTGTACATTAGCTATTAGGCATGTATGACTATTAACTTGCTTCAATTAAGATTAAATAACATTTAAAATTCAACTCCTCTAAGTTGAATCAACCAAGTTTAAAGTGCTTGGTAACTCTGAATTTTTGTCTCCTCTTTCATTTCCGGAGGGGCCTTAATAAGTCAACATTACTTTTATTTGATTTTAAAATTGGGAGATGATCTGAGTGCATCTTTGCTACTGCCCAGTACGAAGGCTTGGATTATGAAGTCCTTGAGGGAAAGGAAGACTTTGCTTTTAGAATGCCTTGGTAGAAATAATTTCTTTCTCAAACACCGCAGCCCTTACCTGGGGTCCTGAGTGCAGAGGCTGCATCCTCCAGCTTGCTGAGTGCTGTTGGCGAGATGGCCGCCCTTGGTGGTTCTACTCCTTCTCCCCTCAGTGTAGCCCTGGGCGCCAGAGCCCCTCATAGCCGGAGAGGTGGGGGCCTGCTGCCATCGCCCGCCACCTCCTCCTTGAGACCCTGTGGCGTTTGTGTGTAGTGGGTGGGAAGTTGGGCCCTACTGTGTGTAGCAACATTTCTAGCATTTACACTGGGTTCTTGGTGCACAGAAATACTGCTTACATAGTTGTGTAGTGTTGTATAGTATTTGGCTACAAGGTAGGGTTTTATTGCTAGAACTTCACTGGTCTTTTTTGCCATATTTCTATAGGAAACTGATTTCTCACTTGTAGTCAGCATTACCTGAAAATTTGGGAACTGCTTGTATACTGGAGCCCATCTTTATGTAACAAGTTTTAATTTCCAAATAGTTTATTTCTTGTGTGTTAAAGAAAAATATTGATCTACCAGAAGCTACACTCTGAAGAAATGTGGGATGTTACCCACTTGAGCTTTACTAGTTATATTTTCTGCCCGTCATAATGTAACACGAAAGGGTCCGTTTTGCTTTGATGATGTAGAAAGGCTAATTTAGACTGAATTTTTCATCAGGTATTTTCCCTATGTTTTTTATTGCTCCCTTTTTATTTCCAGTTTGCTTAATATCCTTTTATCACAATCCTGCCTCCAGTTTATCTCTATGGTTTAATTAATTTCACTTTTTTACCAAAATGGTGAAAGAAAAGCACTTTAAGTTACAATGTTGAATGTTGAAGCAGTCATGACACAAAAAAAGCAAATTGACAATCAAGTATGGAATTGGTAGCTGCATTCCACATGCACCATGGATTTAGTTAAGTGTTTCCTCCCATATTCCTCCCTGAATATTTTGATTTGCAAAACAATTGAGGGCATTGCTAATGTATTTTTTCCTTTTTTTTCCCCCAGAGGGAAGTGTAACATCTCCCATTTTTCTGACATATTCGCTGCTAGAGAATTCAAAGCCCGAGTGGACTCATTTTTCTACATATTAGGCTACAACCCTGAGACAAGGTAAGTGTGTCACTTGTGCCCCCTCAGTGAAGACTTTTTCCTTTTCTCGTGTGTGTGTGTGTGTGTGTGAGTGTGTGTGTGTACACTTACCTGGACATCAACTACTAGGATACAAAAAAATGATGCATCTTCTGTGGAAAGAGTAGAAAGGTCTTTGGCATCTAAAGCAACTTTTTGTTTGCTCTTTTGCCAAGGAAAGGAAAGGTAGGGACATTTGGGTGTAGAGAGGTGGGATTAAGATGTAATTTTAATTACTTCGACCTTTCTCAAGCTCTCCTCGGTGCCATGTTGAAAAAGATTAGGTGATTTTACAAAATTTGTTGCCTGCTCATATTGTTCACCCTGGTTATAAAATCCCAGGAACACTCACCCAAATATCTGTAGTAAGACTACTTGGAGGAGACAGATACATCCTCTTCTAACCACCTTGGAAGGGTGGATCCCTGTTAACAGTTAAGATTATTATTATATAAATGGAAAGCAGTAGGGTCAAAAAATAATTTTATTGGAATGGTTTTCTTTATCGTCTGGAAGTATTTGTTTTCATTGATTAAAAGATGTGGTGATAGTGCATCTGCAGTATCTGTTCCCTGAATCACTGCTGTTAGTGTTTCAAACTCCGTAGACTGTGTTCCCCTCTACACTTGTGTTCCCTGTCTCCACCTTGTGGTTGGTATATTTTCAGAGATTGAGAGGTATTGGCTGAATTGAGTTGAAGAAATACTTGAATTTTGATTTCCAAGTTTCAGGTGGGTCTGAGGCTTCCCCCATGCATTGCGGAGGCCCGGGTAGGACCTGTGTCTGTGGAGCCAGTGTGGCCGCTGCAGTGGATGGCTGGTCTCCCGACACTGTTTCTGAGCTCACAGCTGCCCCCATTGAACAGGGTAGAGTGCGGCTCTGCATTTCCTCCACTGGGACGTGCTTGCTTACGCTGCATCCTTTAGTTTATTTAAACCCCATAGAAGCTTAGTGAGCTTGATGTTATCTGTATTTTAAAAATAAGGGAATTTATATATTGTATTAAATACTTAAGGCATAATGTTAGTAAACAGGCGAAATACCCCAGGCCCCTAGCCTATGTGGCCCCAAATCTGTTGCTCTCCTATGGTTTCACCATAGATTGATTTATATACAATTTAATATTCTTTTAGCTGTTTTGGAAAGTAGCATTTAGTTTTTCTAATGAAGAAAATGGTATTTGGTCATTAAAGAGGAACTTGACAAATACAAATGATAAAGCAGACTGAAATACTGTAATGCATCATTCTGTGGCCCATATCTATATTGATTTCCTGAATATCTGTGTATAGAGACATGTATGTATCTATATTAAGGTTTTAAAAATATGTACAATATGAACATGATCACACATTCCTTTATTACTCTTCCCTATGTTATGGGAAATACCATGTCATTAAAGTTTTATAAACATGTTTGTAATAGAGCCAGGTGTGGTGGTATATAACTGTAATCTCAGCACTTGGGAGGCTGAGGCAGGAGGATCACTGTGAGTTTGAGGTCAGCCTGGGCTACATAGGGAGTTCAAGGCCACCCTGGAATACATAGCGAGACCCTGTCTCATCACAAATATATATTTGTAATAACCACTTAGTATCACTTGGACGTCCTATAATTTATCTATTTTTATATTTCACATTATTGGACATTTATGGTTTGCCCAGTGTTTGGTTAGTCTAGGTAACATAGAGACCATCTTTTTCAATGTAAGGTTTTTTGTTTTTTGTGTTTTTTGGTACCGGGGATCAAACTCGGGTCCTTGCGCTTGGGCAGCAGGCGACAAAACCACTGAGCATTAAATCTCCGGCCTGTCAATATAAGTTTTTATACCTTAGATGAAAAGTTGACAATCTAGAATTCCTTTATTTCAGTTAATACAGATTTGAGGCATTATATAGTTTATTTGGAAACCTGGCCTCCTGATATTTAAAGAACTTCAGTAATATGAGACAAAGCCCAGATTTGATAATTTCTATAACCTTTTCCTAGAAAATATCTACAAATGTTGAATAGAATATAGGAAAACCTGTAAATGCAAGCTAAGCTCTGGAGAGTTAGGAGGACTGAAGACCCAAGCAGTAAGCTGGTCCTTTGGCACCTCACAGTGAAAGCAGGGCTTTTGCTGGTCTCCTTAACAGAAGCGAGGCCTTGATTGCAAGCATTCAGGTTAGAACAGAAAGCCCTTTATAAGGTGAGGACCATGAAGGACCATGTGGAAGCATGAACTAGATTGATTTCCCCACCTAGGGAGAAATAACAAGGATGCCTATTTCTGCAGGATCTCCAAACTATGAGAACCTGAGGGTGAGAAGGTCATATTGACAGTAGATTCATTCAGTGACACCCCGCTACACTAATACACCTGGCAGAAGCCTGTGTCGTATGTGTTTTGGAGGACTGCACCCTCATTCGAAACGCTGTAGTCTCTACAGATAAAATACCTTGAATGCTGAGCTGCCATAAAAGAGCCAGGCACCATCGACTAAGGTCAGATGTATCAAACAGCAAAATAGCCATAACTTCAAGTGTTAGTAATTTCTTCCTCTCATTAACAGAGTTTGAAAGGAAACAATTCTAGTCTGTTAAAGGGCTTTTGGTTCATGGAGGACCACTTTTGCTACCCTCTGTTACAGCTGTTTTTTGTTTTTCAAGAGGGTGGTGGAGTGGGGGGGCCTTAATCACATCCAAAATTCAGCCTGGAAGAGAGAAGTGGGTAAAAATCCAGTGCTTTTTCCCTTTAGAGACATTTTCATAATTTGCATAAGATTCTTCCTTTTCATCTTACTAGACCAAAAAAAAAAAATCCGACTCACATTTTACAGGTAGACTCTTCCAGTTGTTCAGAGAACAGAGAAAGCAGAGCGGGACCTATAAATCACTTATGAAAGGAGTAAATCTTACATTAAAACTGAGTAAAAAAGTGAACTGGTATAGGCAGTCTTACAAACATAGGCATTCATAAAATATTAGCAAATGGAATCTTAGCAAAGCATTAAAAATATACATGTCCAAGTTCATAGTGTACAAGAATGTCTTCATATTTATTGATCTGTTAACCTGTTTTACCACTTCAACGTAATGGAAGAAGAAAAAAATATATGCAGTCATCTTGATGTGGAAAAAGCACTTGATAAAATTCAATCTCCTTTCATTACTGGTGGGAAAACTTAGGAAATTAAATGTAGGATGAAGTTTCCGTAAGCCGAGAATACTTACCAAAACTTACAGCATATACCATAATTAAAGGTAATGTTGGAAGTTTTCCCATTAAAATTAGAAATAATAAAGATTCCCATATCCATTAAGACATGAAAAAGAAAATGTGAGGATTGGGAATAAAGAGATGAAACTTTATCAATAAGATATAATGATTTGTACCATAAAAATTTAGGAAAACCTGTAGACAAATTGTTAAAACTAAGGAGATAAATCAGTAAGTTTTCCTGGGTAGTGCGCGTGTGTGCATGGGAGTGCATGCATGCACACTCACACGCACACACACATGCACATATTTCCATATGCAAGGGGTAGTTGGGAAATGAAAATTAAACTGTTTCTAGAACTTTCCTTTTTCTTAATGTGAACCCACTATTAATTAGAATATGTATCTTCTAAATAGTATATCTTCTTTTCCCTGTCTGTTTCTCTAGAATTTCCTGAACATTAAGTTTCATTGGTATTTTTTGCTTTAAAATTTCTTGTTAGTAAATAAAAAATTTTAGACATTCTTCTTATTTCTGGTAAATAGAAAACTGGCTTAAAACATAAGCAGTTGCCACGCTATAGCTCTTACTTTGTCTTTGATAGATGTGAATAATCTATTCACTAAATGCTAAGTGGGCAAAGTGTTGTTTCACTCAGTTTTTATATAACACACATTTTAAAACCCTCTCACCTATTCGGAAGTGCTTACCCTTGACCTGTGGTTAGTAGGAGTTGACTGGAAGAAAGGGGGTGTCTGGGATCCAGAGCCTGCAGGTCATCCAGACCCCCAGCAGTAGGCAGGATGTGGGGCAGGGAGGCGGCCTCAGTACACAGGTGCCTGGAGCTCAGGAAGACCGGGTAGAGAAAGCGAGGCCCACCCATCCTTACCTGCTGAGCAGGTTACCGCGGGGAGCTGGATGCAAGGCAAGGGTTGGTCAGAGGAAAAGCCTGATAAAAGTGCCGTGGCGGTTCACCAAGTTACTAAAGCACTCGGGTTCGGGCTTCTCAATGCCCTGACTAGGAGGAGGGCTATGGCCGGGGCCCATCAATGGCAGTGTTAGCGCCCACTCTCAGGCAGCAGGCAGTCACTGGCTTCCTCCCTGCTCCTTCTGCAGAGGCCATGAGAACTGGTGCATGAGGACAGGAAGGGTGCTCATTTGTTTTAGGTATGTTTTAAACTGTCAGTTTGGAATTTTATGTACATAAAGAAGAGTCTCGAGATTAATACATAGAATTTCCACGTATCTTTTGCACAGGTTATCAGCTATCAGCAGCTGGCTGTATTTACTTTTAGCTATATTAATTGCTTTGCATACATGCTTTTATATTATCACCTTTTAAACTTCATTATAGATTTGCCTTATATGTTTTTTGGGCCTGTTACTCTGTGTATCTGGTGTCTTTGCGTTGTGATTCTCTTTATAGTATTCCAGTCCCTGCCCCCTTTTCCCTGAGATGCAGTATGGGGTGTCATGTGTCCCTCATGCCTAGGTTCACAGGGCCTCCCTGCCAAGCCTCTTCAATAGTTGGGCTGGAGATGTGGGCCTGTGCACCCAGCTAATAAAATATTTCCCTTCCAGGAACCACATTCAACATCAAGCTCCTTTCCCCCCAAATACTTCAATATGTATTTCCCAGAAAGAATACTCTCTTATTAGGAAAATTAACACTGATACCGTCCAAATCAGCCCATGTTCAAAGTAGTTGCTTGTTTCTTTAATATCATTTGCCTTGCTTTGTTCTCATGGCAGGGTTTCTTCTTACATTTTTCATGACAT